AGATAGGGACTTTTGAAGCTTTGGTTGATACAGGTGCTGACCTCTCAGTGGTCGACCTCAGAACGGCCCTCGATACAGGCCATGGTATAAGTAAACTCGCAAAAATTTGTGCAGGACCCGATGGAAAAAAATTGGACATGGTAGGAAGTATATTTTTAAATATAAAAATTGATGACGAAACATTATCACACAACTTTGTGATATTGAAAACGCATTTACGGACATTAATTCTTGGGAGAGATTTCCTTAAGAAAATGAACGCAAAAATAGATTGTAAGCAAGAAACTATAAAATATGATTTGACGAATAATCATGACGAAATCAAATTTGAAATGTTGAAAATAAAGAGTGCCAAGGATTCCATTGTACCGGAATGTTCCATGAAATTGATCAAGGCATTGGTAGAAACAGAGGATGGAGAATATATTATCGAGGAGAGCAGCAAAATGTTTCAAACAAATGGACTTCGTCTAGCAAGAAGCTTGATCAATGTTATAAATAGGGAAACACACATCTGGATAACTAATCCGTATCCTCGACCGTTAAAAATAATGAAAAACCAAACATTGGCTTTTGGAAGTAGTCCAGCGAAAATAAATGTGAGTCGAGAAAGAGAGGTAGAAAAGAACGAAGAACCTAGATTCCAAATAAACGAAAATCTTTCACCAAAGGAACAGAAGGAGTTAAAACAAGTTTTAGAAAGGTATGGAGATCTTTTTTCATCGAGATTAGGGAGAACCAATTTGGCAAAACATCGGATAGACACAGAAGACGCGAAGCCAATTAAACACAAGCCTTACCGGGTAAGTGCTAAAGAACGAGATATTATAAAAGAGCAAATTGACGAGATGCTTACAGAAGGCATAATTAGGCCATCTTCTAGCCCCTGGTCTTTTCCAGTAATATTGGTCAAGAAGCGAGATGGTAAATACAGATTTTGTGTGGACTACAGAAAACTGAATAATGTGACAGTAAAAGATGTCTATCCGATCCCTAGAATTGACGAAGTTATGGATACTCTCCAAGGATCTACACACTTCTCAGCAATAGACCTCAGATCTGGATATTGGCAAGTTGAAGTCGAAGAAAGAGACAAAGAGAAAACAGCTTTCACTACAGCGCATGGATTATATGAATTCAACGTGATGCCTTTTGGACTTTGTAACGCGCCTGCTACCTTTGAGAGAAATATGGAGAATATGCTTGGAAATCTGAGATGGCAAATTTGTTTGTGTTATCTGGATGATGTTATCATATATAGCCCGGATTTTCCAACGCACCTCAAGAGACTTGAATCTGTTTTTAGATGTTTTCGTGAATCTAATTTAAGGTTAAACGACAAAAAATGCCGATTTGCTTTTGAAGAATTGGAGATTCTCGGCTATATAACGAGCAAACATGGTATAAAACCCGCGGAACATAACATCAAAGCTGTCAGAAATTTTCCTCGGCCCAAAAAGGTCAAAGAAGTACAATCCTTTTTGGGAATGTGTTCATATTATAGAAAATTTATCAAAGACTTTTCAAAAATTGCTGACCCTTTGACCAACCTTATAAAAAAAAGTGTATCATTTACCTGGACAGAAAGACAAGAGGAAGCGTTTCAAACCCTAAAAACAGCACTATTAAGTCCACCAATTTTAGGTCACTTCAATCCAAATGCACCTACCTATGTTCATACTGATGCGTCCAACATCGGCATAGGTGCAACACTTGTCCAAGACATCGGTGGTGAAGAGAAGGTGATCTCATATTTGAGTCGTACCCTAAGTAAAGCGGAGCAAAATTATTCAACCACTGAAAAAGAATGTCTGGCCGTTGTCTGGTCAATGTCAAAATTACGACCCTACCTTTATGGAAGACACTTTAAAATAGTAACAGACCATCACGCCTTATGCTGGCTCAAAAACTTGAAGGATCCAACAGGTCGATTGGCAAGATGGGCATTGAAAATTCAAGAATATGACTTCGATATAATACATAAATCGGGAAAGAAGCATCTGGACGCCGATGGCTTATCTAGGGGGCCCTTACCAGAAACTGATTGGGATGAGGATTTTGAAAGGCTATTTTTAAATCAAATAACAGACGAAGAGGATAAATTTATCGAAAGTGTTAAGAAAAACCTTAATGGAAGCAGGCGATCAATTGCGCAAAACTTTAAAGAAGAAGATGGATGCCTCTTTAAGAAAAACCCGAACCCTGAAGGCAGGGCGTGGTTGCTTGTGGTTCCAGAGAATAAAAAGAGAGAAATTATGAAAGAATATCACAATCATATGTCGAATGGCCATTTGGGCGTCGCCAGAACCATGTACCGAATAAAGAGTAAATACTTTTGGCCATCCATGCTAAAGGATGTCTCAGAATTCGTTAAGACGTGTCACCTTTGCCAAAGTAGGAAAGGCTCGAACCAATTACCTTCTGGACTACTACAGCCCACCCCCCCAGCCAACTTTCCTTTCGAAAGAATTGGAATTGACTTTGTTGGTCCACTACCATCTACGAAAAACAGGAAAAAATGGATAATCGTGCTGTCGGACTACTACACTAGATATGCAGAAACAAGAGCAGTCTCGGAAGCAACAGTGAAAGAAGTTTCTAAATTTCTAGTAGAGGATATTTTTCTTCGGCACGGAGCCCCACAATATCTTATTAGTGACAGAGGCTCTCAATTTACCAGTAATTTAATGAAAGAGGTGATGAAAACGTGCAAGATTAAACATTGCTTCACAACGAGCTATCATCCCCAGACTAATGGATTGACAGAGCGGTTAAATAGAACATTGATCAATATGCTCAGTATGTATGTGAACACTGATCAGAAAAATTGGGACGAAATACTCCCATTCATCACTCACGCTTACAATACTACAATTCAGGAAACCACAGGATATTCTCCCTTTTTCCTGATGTTTGGAAGAGAACCCACGTCTCTTTTGGACGACAGGAATATCTCGGTGGACATTGACAAAGATGATTATGATGAATACATAAAACATCACTTAGACAAAATAAACAGAACAAGAAAATTAGTTATTAACAACACAATAAAGACTCAAGAAAGAATGAAAAAGAACTATGACAAGAAACACATGGAAAGAAGCTACGAACCAGGAGAATTAGTAGCAGTTTGGACACCAATTAGGAAAATAGGAAAGTGTGAGAAACTACTGAGAAAATATTTTGGCCCATATAGAATATTAAAGAAGCTGTCTAACGTAAATTACTTAATTGAGCCAAAAGATAATCCTGGCCAAGACCCATTGATTGTCCATGTCTCAAGACTCAAACCCTATTTTGAGAGAATTGATGAGGTAACTCACGAGGACGTGACGACCTCTGGAGAGGGGGAAGTGTTACATCATGATTAATGGCGTATTTCTTATATTATTTTTAATATATTTGAAATTTAAATTATATATTTATTTATTTTTATATTCTATGATATTTATTTAAAACACAGATTATTTAGATTGTCATCATTTGTATTTAGGTACACATGACTTCACTGCTCTCTTTGATGTGAGAAAATAAATAAAGGATTCTGGTGGCTACTTAAAGAAGACTTATCTCGTTATTCCCTTTTATAAATTTGCAGGATGGTTGAAACACGCTCTGGTAAGATGCAAGACCCAGCACAGGAGAGAATCCAGGCTGAAGAGTCTGCCAAGCCGCAACCTGGTGCAACAATATGTATATATAAAACCTGAGATTTTAAATTAAATATATTTTACTCCACTTGGATGGGATTTCAAAATCAAGTTATTTTACCTAATTTGCTTCTACCTGAATGTCGAAATTTATTTAAATTCAATTTTAATACCATTTTACCAGGTGGTATAGCGCTTGGAATAAGAAATATAATAATAATTATTATTTTTCTACAAGAGAATTTTCTGAGTAAAAAAATATTTTTAAAAGTTGAATTCATGTATAAGACTATGTCTGCACAAAAGCTTCTGGCTATATATGCATACTTAAAAAATTATTCTAATAATTATAATTAATACAAAAATAAAATTTTAAGTTATATATTTATTTCAATGATTTGATTAATTTCTTTAAATAAAATAACACTTTTTGACTACAATATTTGTTTATATTTACGTTATATTTTTGTATATTTTACTACTTATTTTTTTATTTATTTATTTTTAAATTAACTATTTGTGATTACATTAAATGGTAAAGGAAAATTAAAAGTATAAAATAACGTTTAGGTAAAAATTGATTAAGCCAATATTATTATAACTCTTGCCACAATTTATATTTTATGGTTCTTGTGGCATTTTAATAATGTAAATAAAGAAATAAAGAGAGGTATGAATATCTTTCAAATATTTCTATGTATATTTTCCCATCTGATATAAGATGTAAAAAAATCTTGTTTCTGATTGACTGATGAAAACATTTGTTGGGAGGTCTCAACACAATCTTAAAAATAATATTACCTAACCTCATAAAGGCTTGTAAGCTTATTAACGTATATTATGGTAAAATATGTCCTACATTTGTCAATTAGAATGACAGCATGACAAAAGACATTTTCCAACCTTCCTCAAGAATATATAATTAATATAATCAAGGAAAACAATTTTTAAAATTCAAAATAACTTTAAAGTAGAAGTTGCTAGAAAACAGAGTCATCTCCTTCCCCTGGTGGTATAAAATGTCGATTCCCAAGTCATTTATATTGATGACAGATATGTTTCATGTCTTTTATATATATAAAGCTTCTTGTGAAAAATTAAACCATTGCTTACATACTTGTTGATTTTTATTCATATTCATCCATAACATCTAAACATTAAACCTATGGCAGTATAGTAGAACTTCCATGAGAGGACACCCATGCTAATAGACATCGCTCTACAAAGAACAGTTTTCATTTCCAAAATTAACATTTTTACTATTTAGAAACTCTCTGGTAAAAGGAGACTTCTTTCTTAAAGGACACTTTGGCTCTGCAATTATGTGTTGTCTTTTACAGGGAGGTTCTCTTGTACCACATTGAAAAAACAGTTCTTGTCTGATCACCGAAGTTAAGCAATGTCGAGCCTGGTCAGTATTTGGGAGGGTGACCATTTGGGAACACCAGGTACTGTAGGCTTCAGGGAATTGATGTATAAATTGTTTATTCTTAACCTCCATGATCCAAGATTGAATTCTGCATTGGACGGGAGTTGGTGGAAGGGTGGTCTAAATGTTGGTTTTCGACCACTATGACCTGGGACCGAATCCTACATTGGGCACTTTTATCTAATAAAAAAAAAAAAATGCTTCAATGGCCCCCGATTCTTGCTAAAGTCAAACCCAATCAGTAAGTGCGAGTAACCAAACGGGGCTCTAGCACATTTGTAAGTGCAAAAGTCGAACTGCTTTTCATATGTGTAGACATGTGGTGTACTTACAGTAAAAGCAGTCACAAACTTCTACCCACCATCATTATCATGCATGGTCTGTACCATGTTTACTAGGGATAATAATAATAAAAAAAACCTCACATTGGGTATTTTTTTCCCCCTCAAAAAAAAAAGGCTTCTTAATTGCCCCGATTCTTTGAAAATCCAAATTGAGCAATAAATACTCTGGGACACTTGTAAGTGCAAAAGTTAATCTGCTCTCTACGTATGTAGATATGTGGTGCACTTACAGTAAAATCAGTTGTTAACACTACCCACAGTATCCTCCCCATCTACAAATACATTATAATTCTTCATTTTCTACACAAGGTAATATGACCAAATCCAAATAAATATATTGTGTGACATTTCAGCAACAGCGCTGTTACTGAAACATCACACACTATTTATTTATTTGGATTTGTAGTCATATTTCCTTGTGTTTCTAATCTTTAATCCAAAAAACACATCATTGCCTGTATTGACTCATCTATTTGATGAGCTCTACTCATCCCCAGCAGACATCATCAACAAGCTTGATACTCTGATATGACTTAGTGGAGATAAGAAAGAAGAAGAACATGAATTCAAATTGTGCCTTATTATTTCATCATTTTTTTTATCACCTCCCCTACCATTGTAGTAAGTGTGTTTGCCCAAAAAACTTTAGAAAAAGGAAGAAATACATTTTTTTTTTCATTCAGTACTTTTGTCAGAAGATGGTAACAACGCTGTTACCGAAACGTCACACACTATTTATTTATTTGGATTTAGTCTTATTACCTTGTGATTTTATATCTTAATTGAGGGCCCTAAAGGAGAAAGATTTCAGTAGTTTTAATATACAGTTAAACCTGTCTATAGCGCCCCCTCTTGGGACTCACCAAAATAGGATGCTATAGAGAGGTGGTGCTATAGACAGGTTACTTATAATGTAATCGGGCGCTATTGGAGCTTGGATCCTCACAGTAATAGTTTGGAAATCCGTGTAGCTCCTTAACCTTGGTTTTAGATGTTGACTATCTTTCGGCAGAGCTTAATTTGGACTGTATATTTTCACCTCAACCTGCAGATTGACCACTGAGAGATTCTCCCTTTCCAAATGCGATGTAACAACGAGAGAATAACCACACAGCCTCACGGCGTTTAGCTGACACACTCACTTTATTGCATCTTTCACTCATTTTATATACACACATATTTACATAATTAAAAGAAAGAAAGAAAAATCTGCATGATTATAAATCAATGCAGCCTAGCTAGTGATTTACATAACTAGGCGCAAACAGGCGCTATAGAGAGGCGTTATTTAGAGGGGGCGCTATAGACAGGTTTAACTGTACCTTGAATCTCTCTCTAGGTGTATACTATGAACTCCTAGAGTGTATCAAGGTCGGTAACTACCCTGGGATGGTATTCAGACTGGCCTGATATTGGCAGGTTGATTTGTGAAAGTTCTGCAGGTCTTCAGGGGTAGGCATGCCTATTCCTAGGAGTTGTGTCATTTTGTACTAATTGGTATTTTGCCCGAAAGCTTGTTTGATCATCCTCTTAAAATACAAGGTAATAAGACCAAATAAATAATGTGTGATATTTTGGTAACATCGTTCTTACCATTATCAGACAAAATAATATTTGGATTTTAATACAGTAGAACTTCCCTGTAAAGGACAACACCTAATTGCAAAGCCAAAGTATCCTTTAAAGAGAGGTGTCCTTTTACCATAGAGTTTCTAAATATAGTTAAAATGGTAATTTGGCAAATGAAAACTGTCCTTTATAGAGAGGTGACCTCTAGCGTGAGTGTTCTCTCATGGAGGTTCTGCTATAATGGATAATATAGAGATATCCTCTAGCGCGAGTGTTCTCTCATGGAGGTTCTGCTGTAATGGATAATATAGAAGTGTCCTCTAGCACGAGTGTTCTCTCATGGAGGTTCTGCTGTAATGGATAATATAGAGGTATCCTCTAGCGCGAGTGTTCTCTCATGGAGGTTCTGCTGTAATGGATAATATAGAAGTGTCCTCTAGCACGAGTGTTCTCTCATGGAGGTTCTGCTGTAATGGATAATATAGAAGTGTCCTCTAGCACGAGTGTTCTCTCATGGAGGTTCTGCTGTAATGGATAATATAGAGGTATCCTCTAGCGTGAGTGTTCTCTCATGGAGGTTCTGCTATAATGGATAATATAGAAGTGTCCTCTAGCACGAGTGTTCTCTCATGGAGGTTCTGCTATAATGGATAATATAGAGATATCCTCTAGCGCGAGTGTTCTCTCATGGAGGTTCTGCTATAATGGATAATATAGAGATATCATCTAGCGCGAGTGTTCTCTCATGGAGGTTCTGCTATAATGGATAATATAGAAGTGTCCTCTAGCACGAGTGTTCTCTCATGGAGGTTCTGCTGTAATGGATAATATAGAGGTATCCTCTAGCGCGAGTGTTCTCTCATGGAGGTTCTGCTATAATGGATAATATAGAGGTATCCTCTAGCGTGAGTGTTCTCTCATGGAGGTTCTGCTGTAATGGATAATATAGAAGTGTCCTCTAGCACGAGTGTTCTCTCATGGAGGTTCTGCTATAATGGATAATATAGAAGTGTCCTCTAGCACGAGTGTTCTCTCATGGAGGTTCTGCTATAATGGATAATATAGAAGTGTCCTCTAGCACGAGTGTTCTCTCATGGAGGTTCTGCTGTAATGGATAATATAGAGGTATCCTCTAGCGTGAGTGTTCTCTCATGGAGGTTCTGCTATAATGGATAATATAGAAGTGTCCTCTAGCACGAGTGTTCTCTCATGGAGGTTCTGCTGTAATGGATAATATAGAGGTATCCTCTAGCGTGAGTGTTCTCTCATGGAGGTTCTGCTGTAATGGATAATATAGAAGTGTCCTCTAGCACGAGTGTTCTCTCATGGAGGTTCTGCTGTAATGGATAATATAGAGGTATCCTCTAGCGTGAGTGTTCTCTCATGGAGGTTCTGCTATAATGGATAATATAGAAGTGTCCTCTAGCACGAGTGTTCTCTCATGGAGGTTCTGCTGTAATGGATAATATAGAGGTATCCTCTAGCGCGAGTGTTCTCTCATGGAGGTTCTGCTATAATGGATAATATAGAAGTGTCCTCTAGCACGAGTGTTCTCTCATGGAGGTTCTGCTGTAATGGATAATATAGAGGTATCCTCTAGCGTGAGTGTTCTCTCATGGAGGTTCTGCTATAATGGATAATATAGTGGTATCCTCTAACGCGAGTGTCCTCTCATGGAGGTTCTGCTGTAATGGATAATATATTGGTGTCCTCTAGCACGAGTGTCCTCTCATGGAGGTTCTGCTATAATGGATAATATAGAGGTATCCTCTAACGCGAGTGTCCTCTCATGGAGGTTCTACTGTAATGGATAATAAATTTATTCTTTTGTCTGAGAGAGATGATAACAGCGTTGTTACCGAAACATCACTTAATATTAATTTATTTGGATTTGTTGTCTTATTGTCGTTCTAATCTATAATCCAAATTGTACCTTATCATCTCCTTATAAAAGAAGCTCTTTTCTGTGGCTTGTGTTTCCTCATCTATAGGTGGGTGGTTGTTTGAAACCTTTGGTAAAGTGGAGCAATTAAAGAGAAGGTAGTCAGTGCGCAGTTTGGTCCTCTAGATGGCACAGCTGGTGTCATTATCTGATACTTTTACACTTTCTGCTCCAACAAAGTGATGTTCTTTGAGGATTGTAGAAGGGACACTTACCATTTTCTTGATAACAATGCAATAGAAGTTTGATTTATTTGTAAAAGAAACATTCACATATTAATGTCTTCAATCAATGCAATAATTGAGAATGCACCTATTCTTCCGGGGTTTCTTGTGATTTGTGCCATACAGTTTGGCCCAAAGTCGGAAAGAGAATACTGTTTGTTTCAGGCTCAAGCAAAATTTTTAGAGAGTGTGGCTAAAGAAAGTGCCTTAGCATGAAATCTTTTTCTTTGCATCAGCTTTGCTTTTTCTTTTGGATTTCCTCTGCCTAGTTTGCTTATCTTTGTCTTAGTTTGGCTTTTGGCTGGTTTACTTTTAATTGTCTTGGCTTTGCCTGGTTTGCTTTTCTTTGTCTTGGCTTTTCTTTTTGCCTGGTTTGCTTTTCTTTGTCTTGGTTTTTCTCTTTGCCTTGTTTGCTTTTCTTTGTCACGTTTTTCTCTTTGCCTGGTTTGCTTTTCTTTGTCACATTTTTCTCTTTGCCTTGTTTGCTTTTCTTTGTATTGCCTTTTCTCCTTGCCTGATTTTTTTTTTGTCTTGGCTTTTCTCTTTGCCTGGTTTGCTTTTCTTTGTCTTGACCTGTTTGCTTTTCTTTGTCTTGGGTTTTCTCTTTGCCCAGTTTGCTTTTCTTTGTCTTGGTTTTTCTCTTTGCCTTGTTTGCTTTTCTTTGTCTTGGTTTTTCTCTTTGCCTTGTTTGCTTTTCTTTGTCTTGGTTTTTCTCTTTGCCTGGTTTGCTTTTCTTTATCTTGGTTTTTCTCTTTGCCTTGTTTGCTTTTCTTTGTCTCGTTTTTCTCTTTGCCTGGTTTGCTTTTCTTTGTCTTGGTTTTTCTCTTTGTCTTGGTTTTTCTCTTTGCCTGGTTTGCTTTTCTTTGTCTTGGCTTTTCTCTTTGCCTGGTTTGCTTTTCTTTGTCTTGGTTTTTCTCTTTGCCTGGTTTGCTTTATCTTGGTTTTTCTCTTT